CAAAAAAATTCAACTTTAAAAGTCTCACAGTCTTTAAAAAAAATGCCAATGCTTTAGAAGTCCAATATCTCCTCAAAATGTTCAAATTATTATAATTGGGGGATTCTATAAAATAAACTTAATTTGCATACTACCATATTCTAAATGGAATAAGAAAGGCATAAGCGCAGTTACACTCAAGTAAAATGAAAATGCGACAGTGTAGCTCACTGTATGATATCTGGAGCTCATTCATGACCTTCTGGCCTCCAAACATCATGGGAAGACCCATTTCTCCAGCTCTACCACCCACAACACACAGCATGCCTTAGGTTCAGGCAGGCTTTACTCCAAATCTCTGCAGCTCCTGGAGGATGTCCCACGGCCCTGGCACCTGAATATCCTAGAGGTTTTACAGTAACTGAGCCTTCACCTCCACAAATGACCTATTTTTCAGGGACTCTAGCCTTGCCACATGGTGCCAAACCTCACCAGTTCTCAATGACTTCCTGAGCTCTGCATTTCTTGTGTCTTCAGACCAATACTAGGTGGGTGATTTTTGCACATTGCCAAGCTTGGCTACCAGCTCGAGATGAACCCTAGACATCTTCAACTTCTGCATGCTGACTCTGGGGAAATACTTCGCAGTAGACTTTGTGGTGCTGGTTTCTTGCTAAACACAGCTGACTCTTCAGCCTTAGACAAACACCATCCATTCTTCCAGTAAAACAAAGGTTTCACTTCAGTGGTGCTGATCTCTTGTTAATTACAGATGATCCTTCAGTCCCAACTCACCAGGGACTAAAGATTCATAATTAAAAACACTGTGCAATAGCCCTGACATAGAGTCTTTGCTTTCCTCTGAAACTTCATAAACCACACCCTCTTCATTGTATGCCTTTCTTTCAACATTTTTATTATATTCCAAACTCCCACAGAACAAGCTCTGGGGGCAGCTCTCAATGTCTTTTCCAACTCAGGGTTTCAAATAACCATACATCTCCAAGATGTAGAACCATACCTGATCCTATCCTACTTCCACTGGATTTTTGATGTTGTTGAGATAGTTTAGATCAAAACCAGGAGTGAGTATTCTTCTCTGTGACATTTACAATAAAATTTTGATGCAGCTGAATATACTTTTCAAAAGTTTCTGTTTTGATTTCATGTTTTCCTTAGTTTTATGTGAATAGAAGTGCACTAAGGGATTGCTTACTGGAAGCTAGTGTCATAAATAATAAATTGAAAGCAGCCTTACAGGAATGAAGAAAATAAAGTGCAGTGGGTCGTATCTCTATGGTTTGTGTGGATATTAATACTGGAAGGTGATATTTTAATAGAATTTTTTATCAGTTTGACTTCTCCAAGACTGAGTAAGGTCATATTTTTTTCAACTTGGCAGTAAATGTTTTTTAGTAATTGACTATACAAAAAGACACCCTGAAAATACTAACATGCCATAAGTTTTTAGAAATATTATAATAAAAATAACTCACATAAATATGTCAGTAAGATTGCCCACAGTGATAAAGCACCATTAATTGATGAGTATCTCTCCTTGTCTTCCTCTAATCCTCCCTCCTACAAGAAAAAGAGTATACTACACATAAAGAGAGAAAAATATGCACTATTCAAAATGTAAAGATAATAAAGATGTTTAGGATATTCTAATTATATGGAGAGAATGAAAAACATCATATGCCAGGAGACAAAGATAGCATGAAATTGTTGATTATGATGAACTCAGTTTTATCTTGTACAGGTTGGTCTAGGGTAGAAAAATACCGTTGATTCATTAAGGGGAACTCTGGCTACTGGAGGATCAGTGCTGGAGTATCTAGCATCTTTGAGGACCTTGGAAACATGGGACATTATGCACATATTTATGGAAACTAGATTATATTTCTTTAATTAACTGTAACAGATCCGATTGCATCATGGAGAAATATCTGAGCTCTTGGTGAATTCAGCTATTTTTCTCTCAAAATACTCAGGTTGTTTACACAGCAACCAATATCGACTCATTGGGAATCAGGCTTTCCCCTTGATTTTGATTTTTTCAGGTATTATAATTTTTCTGCAAATTTCTCTCTTCATTGTCGTTGTTTACTTTAAATTGCTGTAATAATGACACACAAACATGATGAGATGAAAGTCTGTATAAATATGCAATTGTGTCATAGCACAATGTGTAGACTTTGACATCAAGAAACACAAATTTAATTTTTTACTTTTCCAAAGTATACCAGTTTTCATTTCTTAGAAACTTGGTTTTACCCAAGCAGGTACTTTCTTCTTATATAGACTGAGGTCCATAAGCCTCTATAATTTTAATGTCTCCTAATGCCCAATGCATTCCGTGTATCCAAGCACATGATTAATTAAGTCACTATTTTCATTTTTATTATTCAAACTTTCAATTTTTGATGGTGTCAAACAAGCTATGGGTTTTCCTTGAATAGGTAAAGAGCTGCTGTGTATGTCTACCTGAAGAAGACCTTTTCTAGGAAGGGAAGGAGAATTCTTATATGTCACTCACGCCTTCTCTAATGCCCAATCCATTGGGGGGCTTAGCCCCCATTTAGCACTTGGTACATTTGGCTTCTTCATGAAGCCATTCTATAAAAGCCTTCTGGGATTCTGGTCACTCTCTTTACAGAAGTCTGTTTCAACTCTTTTGCCGGCTGGTTTTCTTCTCAAAATGTGGTACGTACATTTTGCAGTAATGCAGGAAGTCCTGTTTAGACTTGTGCCCCTGCTCCTATTCCTCTGTGCTTTGTGATGACCGTTTTCAATACTCTTATCCAGTTGTGATCTCATGCCTGATACCTATTTCCTCCTTCATTCGATGAATCTATTGATACTGTTCTGTCTTGTTTAGGAGTTTATTATTTGATTCTAAACTGAACATGTAACTGTTAGAAACTCATTAGAGACTTCAAAGATAACTTAAATATGAAGCTGCAGTTATTTTGTCACTATTGTTTATTTGATGTATGCAATATGTTATTTAAATAACATTGCAATTAGATCTTTGTGATTCACATAAAATAGTGGATCCGTTTTCCAGCATCTTTTCAGTAGCTTTCTGTTCAAAGATCCTATGACTACTGATTTCTGTGAATATATATCATCATATTTTAAGCACCTGCAAAGAACTTCTTCCTGGATACGGGTGGATGCTAATTGCCAGTTACAATTAAATTGAGCTGAGCTGAAAAAAGAAAAAAAAACCAAACAACAAACAAACAAAAAAACAGAACCACATGTGGCTTCCTTGTCTCAGCCTCATGCCAGGCACAAGACACAAAGAATCTCCCGGCAGCTGCCTGCAGGATGGAGCCAGCCACCCGGTGTCCTGGGCTAGCACAAGTGCTAAGCTGAGCCACACTAGAAGTTGACATAGCAGCTTAAGACTCATCAGAGAACACTGCAGATGCTCAATAAAGACAGACCCAGGCGAAAGACACCTCTAATCAGGTCACAGTGTGGTTAAAAATGCTTATAAGACAGATCCAGGCGAAAGACACCTCTAAACAGGTTACAGTGTGGTTAAAATTTTCTTAAGACAGATCCAGGTGAAAGACACCTCTAAACAGGTTACAGTGTGGTTAAAAATGCTTATAAGACAGATCCAGGCAAAAGACACCTCTAAACAGGTTACAGTGTGGTTAAAATTTTCTTAAGACAGATCCAGGCGAAAGACACCTCTAAACAGGTTACAGTGTGGTTAAAAATGCTTATAAGACAGATCCAGGCGAAAGACACCTCTAAACAGGTTACAGTGTGGTTAAAATTTTCTTAAGACAGATCCAGGCGAAAGACACCTCTAAACAGGTTACAGTGTGGTTAAAAATGCTTATAAGACAGATCCAGGCAAAAGACACCTCTAAACAGGTTACAGTGTGGTTAAAATTTTCTTAAGACAGATCCAGGCGAAAGACACCTCTAAACAGGTTACAGTGTGGTTAATAATGTTCTTAGGCTTGAGAAGAAAAAGTGAAAGAGAATAGACAGTGGTAGGAAACAATAGTTTAAAAATAATAAAGCCCCTATAAGAAGGGATAAAGTAATATAAAAGACAGAAACATACAGATGGGAAATACACGGGCTGTCTGGATCCTGTGTGTCCTTGTCCTTTAATTTTTTTTGTTGTTGTTGTTGCTGAGAAATGAACAATGGCTTCTGAGCGACATTGGATCATAAAAACCACTAGATGAAACCGACCTATTTATTTCAAAATGAAAGTCAAAAAGATGATTTGTTTTAGGGAAAAGGTTGTGCTTTTGTTCCCACGGGAAACAAAAGGCTATGGATTCACTCAAGGTTAAAGATGATTATGTTTGATGGAGGAAGGCCCCCCCTGAAAATCCTGGCTACAGACGTAAATAAATAAACCTAAAAAACCCTACAAGACACATAATATGTATTTTATTTACTCAAACATAAAGCAAAAAAAGAAACATCCTTGGCCAACTTGCGTATGATACACAGTCTATAAATGTATGAATGCAAATGTGCATGTTACCTTTGAAAGTTTACGTGATTCTAGAGCAAGGGGACCAGACAGCAATAAAAAAGATATCCCAGGTGATCCAGTATCTCAGAGTACCTGTGTTGCAGTTTCCTCAGAGATCAGCATCCAGCATAACAGCTTCAAGTTTGCTGCCTGAGATGGTCCAGCTCAGCCTCACAGACTACTCCAGTCATGACTTAACCATTATACTGATTTTCTCAAGGCTCCTCCTAAAGATGTCAGCACACCCAGACAACAGGAGGCAGTCTAGAGAAAGCCACGTCCACATTCTCAAGGATGGGTTATAGATGTTTGTCACCATTGGTTATAAGTTGTTATTGGTCACGGTCAAGGAAAAAGCTAAACTAAGAAGTTAAATTCAAAGTTAAATTCTTTCTAAAGGAGAAAAGGGGATATGATGTAGAAATGATGGGATAAATGAATAGATTATTGAATAGATTATTGAATGAATAGATTATTGAATCTATTTTAATCCAAAAGGCAACTATTAATCTTGAAACATTTTATATCAGTATAGATTTCTATTTATTGGTAAACATTTAAAGTTATTTTGTTATATATATGTTTCTAGCTTTTTACGGGGTATTGTAGCTCATTTAAAATGTAATGAAAACAGGTTAGCATTTAGTCATCTGTAATAATCAAACTTGTAGTCATAGTAGGTGTGTTTTCAAGGTTAAACAGACATATTTAGATAGACAGATGGTCTTCAAAGACCTACAGAATATGGTATTTAGGATGTTTAGTAACTGAAGGATTTTCATGACAGTGAGACACGTCTGCTCCTGGCAGCACCAATTTACTTCAAAAGAACACGGTGGGCACTGAAGAAACTCTACAAGGAGTTTGCTGTCTTTACAACAAAGCTAGCCATTTTGGAAAAAATAAAATGCACTTGCTTCAACTGCTGCGTGTATATTGTCCAAACTGGACAGACAGGACATGAAAGAAAGCAGCTGACAAACTTTGCCAAGACAAGGTAGGACAGTCCTTGAAAATTCCCTGTTTCTCAGAAATATCTGTCAGATATCCTAGGCCTGTAGGCCAAACATGGATGCCCCAGAACTTCAGAAGAACTTTGAGTGACTGTCCAGGAAGCCAGATGTCCCTGTTGTTAGGTAATATTACACCCTTCTGGGGTTGTTTGATAGGGTTATAGGCTAAATAGTTAGACTTACAGCCTTCCTTAGTTATGATAAGATGTAAATTAGTTATAAAACTTTAGACTTGCAAAGACAAGATAGATAATAGCCTCTCTAAATTTGTCAAATGCAAATAAGCTGGATAACGTAACTGTAATTCTTCCTTGATAACTGTTTTTTTTTGTATATGATTTTACTATGTTAAAGTTAAAACCTTCCCTTTTAATTAGACAAAAAAGGGGAAATTCTGTGGAATAATACTTTGTATACTGTGAAGATGCTTTACCCTCTTTAGCTTAATAAAGAGCCAATTGGCCAAAGTGAGGCAAAAAGAGGTTGTGGGGAGAGACAGACTAAGAAAACCCTGGGAATAAGGAGGACAGAGCTGCCAGCTAGACACAGAGGAAGCGGGAGACGGAACATGCCATAGTTCGTGAAGGTAACACCACATGGTAGAGTGTAGATAAGAAACATAGGTTAACTTAAGTTGTAAGATCTAGTTAGCAGCCAGCTACTAGCTGAGCATTTAAAATTAATAATAGCCTGGTTCCAGAGCCGCATCAGTCCCAAATAAACACACATTATGAAGTTGTTGGACATTTGCTTGTTTCTTACTGGCTATCTCTGAGTTAAGTATTTAATCCCATAATTGTTAATCTAAGCATTTCTCTTACCAGAGAAAGGGTCCAGACCTCTTACGTCTATGGCGGTTACATCATGATTCCCTGTGTTTCTCCTTCCCAGCGTCCTCCTCGACCACTAGTCCCACCTATCTTGCTTCCCTATTGGCCAACAGTGCTTTATTCAACAACCAATAAGACACAGATTTACAGAATGGCATCTCCCATCATGTGGTTATTTGGGGAGCCAGTGGTCCTGACCTGAAAAAGTCTGCCCACACAGTATACTGCACTACAAGGTATAGAATGGGAAGACCAGGGGGGATGAGAATATAAAAGAGTTAAAAACTTGAGGACCAGGAGGCCTTACATAAACAGATGGTTTGTGTCAAGCAATGTTCTTAAGCCACATAGCTTCCTACATACTTGTTTGTAGGTAGACAGTAGTGAAGATCAGCAAAGAGCCCAGTCAGACAACATCTTCAAAGATGGCACAGGGTACCATCTTTGCCTTAGAACTGATAACCACAGCACAGGGGGAAGAGCCAGGTCGTCAAAGATCTCCTGAGTAAATTTGGAATCTGGGGGAGGGGAGAGGTAGGAGAAAAAGGAGGGGAGAAGAAGAGGGAGGAGAAGAACATAAGGGATCAGGAAGGTCAAGTTTGAGGGAAGGACAGAGAAGTAGAGTAAGGAAAGAGATACTTTGATAGATGGAGTCATTATGGGGTTAACAAGAAACCTGGCACTGGGGGAATTCCCAGGAATCTACAAGGTTGACCCCAACTAAGAATCTTAGCAGTTGTGAAGAGGCTACCTTAAATGCCTTTCCCCTGTGATGAGATTGATGTCTACCTTAAGTGTCATCATAGAGCCTTCATTCGGTAGCTGATGGAAGCAGAAGCAGAGAGATTCACAGCTAAGCACTGAGCCAAACTCCTGGAATCTAATTATAGAGAGGGAGGAGTGATGAGCAAAGGGGTTAAGACCATGCTAGGGAAACCTACAGAAACAGCAGATCTGAGCAAGTGGGAGCTCTTGGACTCCAAATTCACAACTAGGGAACCTGCATAAGACTGAACCAGGCCCCCCTGAACATGGGTGTCAGTTGGGGGCTTGGGCAGTCTATGGGGCTGCTGACAGTAGAACCAGCATTTATCCCTAGTGCATGAACTGACTTTTTGGATCCCATTGCCTATGGAAGGATACTTTCTCAGCCTAGATGCATGGGGGAGGGCCTCAGTCGTGCCCCAAATGATATGACAGACTTTGAAAATCCCCCATGGGAGGCCTCACCCTGTCTGAGTAGCGGATGGTGGTGGGATTCAGAGATGGTGGGAGGAGTGGGAGGACAGGAGGGAGAGGGACCTGGGATTGGTATGTAAAATAAGATTGTTTTTAATTTAAATTAAAAAAAATTTAAACTGCAACCTTGGTTCCTTTGAGGTCCTGGTTCTAGCCCCAGACCAGACCTTGCCAAGTCTTTCTCTGGGTGAAGGCACAGAATTAACATTCCCTTCCTCTTTTCATCAAGGTCTCTGAGAAAGCCTTGGATGGGCCTGAATCCCAACACTCTGCCCTCTGTGTCTGGAGGGTTTCCAATTTATCTGTACTTCTTTACAGGTTTTTATGTGAACCTGAGTTGTCATTTATCTGGTGTAAATATCCAAGTATAACTATTGTCTTGTGAGAATCTCTTTGTTTAGTTTTAGGGGAAACGGCGAAACTGCTTCCCACAGTGGTGACAAATATTCTAGCACACAAGAATGACTCAGTTTACTCTGCATTTCCTGCAGTGTTTGGTACCGTCTCCAAGTTCTCATTTCAGCCATTCGCACAGGTGTGGAGTGGCATCTCACTGAGCTTAGTTTAACCCTGCTAAGAACCGGAACCTTTTGATGGTCTTCCGTTCCTTTAAGCCTGTTCCTGTTCCTATCTTTGAAGATATCCTTTTTTCCCCCTAACTTAACTTTTAAGTTTTTATATTTCTTACATATATGAGATTCTAGCCCCTTTATGCATATGTGGTTTGCAAATATTTTTACTTTCAGTCTACAACTTGGGGGCTTTTGTTGTTGTGGGTTTTGGTTTGATTTTCACTTTTTGGAGAAAAGTCTTCCTGCGTATCTCTGGTTGGCATAATTCTCATTATGTAGTCAAAAATAGTCTTAGACTCAGTAATATATTGGCTCTAGCCTTTGCAGTGCTGAGATTACGGGTGTTATTGCACTGTGTTTATTAGTGTGTGTGTGTGTGTGAAGTGTTGATGAAATTCAATTAATCTGATTTTCTTTTTATTGCTTATGCTTTTAGTGCTAAGACTCAAATATTTTCCTAGTCACAGACTGTAAAAATTTTTTTCTGTGTATTTTTCTAAAAATAATATATAGTTTTGCATTATAGGCCCATGATCAATTCTGAGATAATTTTTATATGTTGGTATTACTTTGAAAGCCTTAATAACTTTTTTAGCCTGTGATTGCCCACTCTTTCCCAGATCCGTTTTTGAAAAGGCCATTTTCATAGTGAGTTTATTCTACACCCTTGTGAACAATCAGGCATGCACAACAAGCTCCGCTTCTGTGTTCTCAGTGGCGTTCCCATTATCCACCGGGCTACATTTCTGCTGATACCACATTGCTTTCATTACTACACTTGTATAGCTGTCCTTAGTACAGAGTACAGTGATTCCTGCTCTGTTTAATTTTTGAGGTTCATTTTGCTATCCCTAATCCTGTCTTTTTTCATACTTATTTTCCATATACTTTTTTAAGTGCCTCATCAACAAGGGTAGCCCGTATTTTTAAGCCAAGGGTCACGGGCATTTATCTCATCGTAAAGTACCAGGTAGTCTGATGATATGGAGAGATGACTCAACCTATGGGTTCACGTGGATAATACTACCTTTGAGGGTGGCCTGTTTCCTTAAAGGTGCAATAGTTTATGTTATTAATTTCTGGTAATTATCAGGTTTCTTTCCAGTAACAAATCAAACATGTCACAGACTGTAACATGGACTCTTTCCTGCCAGCTGCCTGGGTCCTTCCGCTGTTTCTGCCCCCAAATAACACATGAGACACTATATTAAATTATGAAGCTGTTGACTGTTTGCTATGGTTTCTTATCGGCTAGCTCTGATTTAATTATTAAGCCATAACTGCTAATCTGAGTATTTCCATATGGTCTTCTCTTACCAGAGAAAGGGTCTGGACTTCTTACTCTTTTCGTGTCCTACATGGTGACTGCCTGTGCCTCCGTTTCCCAGAATCCTCCACCTCTCTTAGTCCCACCTATCTTGCTTCCCTATTGGCCAAGGATGCTTTATTTATCCACCAATAGGACAGACATATACACAGAAGGACTTCCCCCATCAAGAGACACTGTCCGTTATCATGATTACAAATCTGTCACCGAGTTTCTGCTTCTGGTCCCTATGAATGTAGATCCTGTTGATGGAGGATAAGAGAGGGGTGGGCTTTCACAGGGAAACATGAGCTTGACTCTACTGGATTGAGGTTTGGGACTCCCATCTGGCCGTTTGGAGAATCCTTTTATTGAAAGGCAGCAAAAGCAGTTTGTTGTTGACGAGGCTGTCTCGATCCCGATTATCAAAGAGAGACAGGTGTCCTCACAATGGCTAGGAGCCATGTCTGTGACCAGTGGATTTCTAGGGTCCCTCTTAGTGCTTTTTCTTCGATACAAAAGCATAGGCAACACAGCTAAAAGCAAAGTTCCTCAGAAATGAAATATCAAATCATAAAAAAGCTATATAGTGTGGGCAAAAAGAAAAAGAGGATACAAAATCCTAAAAGGGTAAGCAACTATAATTCCTTATTGCAACCTTGAAAATGAACAAAAAGGTGAAGATTAAAATAATAGCTTTTTGTGTATTTTCCTTGCTTTCTTAGGATTTCTGTTTCTGTTTGATAATTTTCCCAGCCCCCATTTATCTATCATTTAATATAAAATATGTGTGTACTTGCAGTTATGAATTTAATAGCTTTAAATTTTTTTGAAATATGGTTTTATGCTATTTTCCCAGGATGGCCTGGAATTTACTGTGGAATAGAGGCTGGCATAGAAACTGTGTCAGTCCTCCTGAGGCTACAGGTATGAACCTCAGTGCTCACCTTTAATAATATTTAATTGGGAGAATATCAAAGAGGACTTATACTGGAAAGGAAAAGCATTGCCTTAAGATGGAAGGAGTCAATTGGTGGTTCTTAAATTTCCCTTAATGGATGGGTGCATTTAGGAAGTGGAAACAATTATGTTTCAGTTTGTAAGTTTAATATGGCTGAAGGGTGTGTGTATGTATGAGAGAGAGAGAGAGAGACAGAGACAGAGACAGAGACAGAGACAGAGAGACAGAGAATGAGTAACTTTCAAGACTCTGTCACTGATTCTGAGCGATTTCCTTTCCCCAGAAGTTTGCTTATTCATATACCGAGGAAACACTTTCTGAGAACAAGGCAAGTCTCTTAAGACCAAGTTGTCACCTCCGCCCAATACCGAGTCTCCTGGCAGGAGAATGCTCTGGAAGCCTGCTCAGGACTTGAAGTGCAACCTATCTCTCTCCCCTGCTTCCCAACCTCCTAACATGATGATGGAGCTGTGACCCTTCTTGATAGGTGTGCTCAGATTTTGTGGGTCATATTAGACACAAAAGGAGCTTCACAGGGTGCTATCCACTCGTGGGGGGAGCCCAATCCCTAACTATTAGTTACTTGCTGTCTGATGTCTTACCTGTTTGGGGGACGCACAGACTTCCGAGCAGCTGAAAAGAATGGGCTGGGCGCAGTTGAGAAGTCGCCCGCAAAGCTCACATGCAGCTGCGTTATAGAACGGGAAATGGTGAGGCCGGGCACAGCGTTCTGCTTCCTCCATTGCTTGCACCTACAACCGCACTGAATTGAGACAACGAATGGGGGTTCTTGTCACCTTAAATCATACAAAACTAGCACCAGAATGGTCAGATTCATGAATGCCATGGTTAATACGAATTTTACCTTGACAGGACCTAGAAATCCCCCAGGAGACACATCTTTAGATAAGATCTATTGGGATGGAGCGAGCCATCCTGAGTTACGGGCTGCTGTTCCAGAATGAGCACAAAGGCAAAAGGAGGTGTCGCTCTCCAGCGTTCTGCTTCCTGACGGGGTGCAATGGGTCTGACAGCCTGATGCTGCCGCCTCCATGCCTGCCCCGCCTCCTCTGCCATGATGGACTGTACCTACCTTCAGACAGTGACTCGAAACAAACCTCTGCATTACGAAGCTGCTTTTTGCTTAGTAATTTTTGTCACAAGCAAGAAGAAAATGAATAACACGATTGTTACGAAAGATACTATAAAATATAAATAGTCCAGAAAAGAAAAAACTGAAGGTGTACAGCGTTTGTGACAACACAGTGGGTCACAGGGAGTCCTCGGAATGCCCCTGTACTCCCTGAGTATCTGGCTAAACCATTGCACGTCTTCTCTTGTGGCGAGACGGGACGATAATTGGGAGAGGATAAAGGACTGCCTGAAGTGACTGACGGAGTAGTGGGACCCTCATCAGCCAGTGGAAGGTGACGCTAAGACTGAGAAGTAGAAGTCATGGGGACAGGGTCTGCAGGGGAACCGCTGTCCCTGACATGCCCTGGACCTGCAGAGCCGGAAGAGACCACTGTAGGTTTCAGAGGCCCAGGAGAACCATCGGAGAGGGTCTAATCTCTCCACCGCGACACTGGAACTTCAAGGAACACCTAAGCAGCTAGGACACAATAGCTGTCGCCTGCTATTACCCCCACACCCTCTCCAACCCCCACCACTACAGCACCACTTGGAACCTGCCAGAGCCAGAGAGAGTCGAGAACTCCACCTTTTAACCCAGCCCAGCTATGCCCCAATTCGCTGCCTAAGTGTTCTTTTTCTCTTTCTGTTTTTAGATATCCACTCTTGCACACATGTCACACGACGGTCTGGCTTCTGATTACGTATCTCTCAAATTCCAGGACCATTGGTACTGCTTCTTGGCATAGAATTCTATAAGGCATTCTTTACTATGCTCTCCACCCATATCTCGTATATTCCCACGCTTATTCTTCACTCCTTCCCTCTCTTTTTTTATTGCCCTTTTCTCCTCCACTTTTGGGCTGTTAATTACTGCCTTCTATAGCTGTTAACTGTCTCTAATATCTGTGGACCCCAACAGTATCCCATCTTTTCTTTCTGAGATCTTTTCCGTACTTTGTTTTAAAGTTGGTCTAGAAGCTACTACTGGTATACACCTTGGTTTCCTCAAGCTTCTAATCTTGCTAACATCCAGCGGCACCGTGTAACACCTTTGATGACTTATCCTCCAACAGTTATTGAAGCCAAGGGGGCTACTATTCTTAACTGTCTAGCACCACAGTATTAACATCTAGAAGCAATGGTCTCTCACAAAATTAATACCCTATTTAGGAAATGATAGTGAATTTACACCACGTACAGCTGTTTCACTAGCTAAACATTCAGTGGTCCACAATCAAGTCTCACTTGACCACAACAAATAGTCCAACTGGAAGAACATAGCTAATTAAGAAACAAACCAAGCAAAAACTCATATCAGATGCACAAATCATAATTCACTAACATGAGAAACATGGAAAAACCAAGACAAGTTATTTTAACCCAACTGTAATGCCATCTGATGAAATCGAGTTAAATAAAATCCCAGAGAGAGAACTCAAAAATAAGTAAATGCCAAAATAAAAAGTAGTCAGAGATCTCAAACAAGTAGTTCAACAATACTCCTTAGGGTCCTGGGCAAAGAAAAAGTGAGACCCCCAGTCAGTAGACAGAAAAAATGAAAAGATCAGGAAAGAAACTAATGAAATGGAAACAACATCAAAAACAGTAGGAAAAAGAAAGAGACAAAGGTATTTGGAAATATAAACAATATAAACAAACCGTTAGCCAAAGTAACCAGCAGAAAATGAACCAAATTCATAGTTAGAGACAAAAGAGAAGCCATTGCAACAGATACCAAGATAATCCAGAAATATACAGATTTTACCTAAAAAACATTATAGTTAATTATGAAGCCTAAAATAATTTTAATGCATGTATCCTGCCAAAATTAAACTAAGGTAAGATTGAGACAATAATTTAAAGTCTCTCAATAGGTCAGACCTAGATGGATTCACTAGTGAATTTTATTAACCTTATTATCCTTCAATGAACCAATAGTAATGTTTCTCAATCTTGTACATGAGAGAATAAAAAGACCACCACCAAACACTTTCTACAAAGCTAGCCTTACCCTCAGTCCCAAGCCAAATAAAGACACAGTTAATAAAATTGCAGACAAGCCAACCCTAATGAACACCCATGCAAGACTCTCAACAACACACTTGCAAGCCCAATAGTACATCGAAACAAAACAAAACAAAACATTTACCACAATCAAGTAGAATTTATTCCAGAGACAGACGGATAGTTCAATATGCAAATCAGCAAGTGTTATAAATGGCATAAGTGGGATCAGGGACAAAATCACATGGTCACTGTCTCAATAGTTTTGGAAACAGTCAGAGCGAGTTCCAGGACAGGCCCCAAAGCTACACAGAGAAATTCTGCCTCAAAATAAATAAATAAATAAACAAATAAATAAATAAATAAAATTTAAAACTCCAATAGCTTTTCATGTTAAAAGTATTGAAGAACTGTGTTGGCCAACTACTCCTGGGCATGGGACCTGTCCTGGAGTATGGTTGATATACCCTATAGCCCTCCATTTGTAGAAAACTGATTTTTCCCTTTGACAATGGGCATTAGTTGCAAATGGCTTCTTTGTCATGCTGTGTGAAAAATTAACAGAAAAAGGAAAAAGATTTTTAACGGCGCTATTGACTGTTATTTTTAAAATTCCACTTAAGCTGGTGGCTAAATTATAAGACAGGTATAGATAACGTCTTTCACCAGACAACTGAAAACAAAGTGCCCATCCATTCTTAGAAAAAGAAAAAGTCATGAAGTAACTCAGAACAGAAGGAGTCTATCTTGACATAATAGAAGCTATATATACATAGCAAGACAGTGTTTAATGGGTCACAATTCGAAGCATTTCCACTAAATTCATCATCAACACAGAGGTGTTTGCTATTTTCATTCTCATGTGACAAGTTAAAAGAATAAACACAAGGGGTACAAATGTGAAAGTACCTCTAAGTAAGAGACTGTAACTTAGAGGTCCTAAGTCTCCACAAGAAAATGCTTAGAACTCCATAAGCACTTCCAGCAAAGTGCAGAATACAAAATTAACACACAGAAATGATAGCCTTCCTACTCATCAGTGGCAGACACTAAGGCAGAAACCCATTTCATTCGCAATAGACAAATCGCACAAAACAAGCCAAGAATTTGAAATGTCTGTGCCATCAGTGTTTTGAAACATGGGAGAAAGAAACAGAGGACAACAGTAGAACATGGAAAGGCTACACGTGCTAATATTGTGGAAATGAAAAAAATCTCACAAAAGTAATGTACAGATTCAATGCACAATCTCAATCAAGACGCAAACTCAATTTCTTCAAAGACATAGAAAAAAAAACCTTAAAATTCATATTGAAGCACAAGAGACCCAGACAGGTGAAGCCGTTTTCAACAGTAACAACAAAACAGCAAAAACTACAAGAGGTATCACATGCCAAATTTCAAACTGCATTACAGAGCCACAGTAACAAAAACAGCATGGTGTTTGCACGAAAGTACACACATAAACCAATGGTGCAACATAGACAAGAGAAAGAAAACAGGAATTACTTGACTCCCTTTTCCTATTTGTGTGCCCTTAATTTCCTTCTCTCACATTTTTGCTCTACTTAGCGATTCAAGTACTATATTGACAAAGAATGGGAAGAGCGAACAGCCTTGTCTCATTCCTCATTTTAGTGGAATTGCTTCAGATTTTTCTCTGTTTAAAATAATGCTGGATAAGGGCTTGCCAACCAAAGATAGCTTTTATTAGGTTGAACTATGTTTCCTGCCAATTCTATTCTCTCTAAGACTATTTTCTAGTGCCAGGATGTTACATTTTGTCAAATGTATTGTTCTTCGTCTATTGAGATGTGGTTTCTTTGTCTTCAAATCCATTTACACTTTTATTACACTGATTTATTTACATGTTGAATCATCCTTGTATGTCCAGGATAAAGCCAACTTGATCATAATGGATTTTTAAAAAAATCTATTCCTACAGATACTCACTTTGCAAATATTTTACGGAAAAAGTTTGCACCTATATTCATCAGAGATCTGGGCCTATAATTCCATTTATCTCTTTTAGCTTCGCTTGACTTTGATAGCAGAGTAACGCTGGCTTCATTGAGTCCAAAACCCCTCCATCTGCTTCTGTTTGTTAGTACTAGTGTGAGAAGCACTCTTGGAAATGCTGGTAGAATTCTGCGTGGATTCATCGGCACCTAGGTTCTTTAGACATAAGACCTTTTATTGGTCTCAAAATTCTTTTTTTTTTTTATATTTAAGCAATGGGTCTACTAAAGTTGTTGACCTCTTTTGTGTAACTTTGGGCATTTCAATATCTTTGTAAATGTATCTTTTTTTTTAGGTTCTCCATATTAGTGAGATGGACTGTAGGTCTTTAAAGATACCCCCATGGTTCTCTGAATTTATTTGTGTCTGTTGTGATGCTGTCATGCTTGTTTCTAGTTTTATTAATTTGGGTCTTCTTTTTCTTTCTTTTGATTAACTCAGCTAAGGGTTTTCTAACATTATTTATTTAACTTTTAAACAACCAGTTCCTAGAGTAAGTAATTGATTCTATTTATTATTTTGTTCTTGTTTGTATTTGAATAATTTCTACATTGGTTTTTAATATTTCTTAGTCTTCTGGTGTGATTTAGTGAGTTCTTGTGTTTTCAAACCCTTGAGTTGATTCATTAAATCATTAATTTTACTCTTGTTTTTATATGATATAAATATTACATTTAAAGAATAATAATTTATAGTTTGCACATTTCAGCTAACAGTGGTACCTAAAAATCATTGAGAAAAGTATTGACATTGAGAAAAGTAATTGTGACATAAGGATTTGACATTTTTACTGGGTATGAC